GTGTGTGTGTGTGTGCATGCAGACCTGTACCTGGTATGGAGTGGGTGTGTGTGCAGACCTGCACTTGGTCCGTGCGCGTGTGTGTCGTGTGTGTGTGTGTGTGTGTGTGTGTGTGTGTGTGTGTAGACCTGCACTTGGTCCGTGTGTGTGTGTGTGTGTAGACCTGCACCTGGTCCTGGGGGTCTGCGTGGTGGGCAAAAGATGCCAGGGCTTGTAGACAGACGGGACAGGGCAGGGCAGGGCAGGCAGGGTGGGAGGGACAGCTGGGTGGGTCAGGGCAGGCAGGCTGTGTCCACTGGGTGCTGGACCTCCTTCCATCCTGTCACATGGGCCAGGCTGGCACCCACCTCCCAGGACTCCATAGTCATCCTGAGCAGAGACAAGGTCAGCATGCAAACCCCCAGACCTTCTGGTTCAGGCATCTTGGGGAACAGACAATCAGAAGGGGCCCTGGCTACATGGTGTGGCTGTGGGCAGGCCCCAGGCAGGTGACCACCATGTTCCCACAGGCTGGCCGGCTCTTCGACCACGGCGGCACCGTCTTCTTCAGCCTCTTCATGGCTCTCTGGGCAGTGCTGCTGCTGGAGTTCTGGAAGCGCACAAGCATCACGCTGGCCTACCGCTGGGGCTGCTCTGACTTCGAGGACATCGAGGTGTGGCCAGGTTCTGCCCACTGCCCAGATGTGGACACAGAAGGCATGGGCTGAGCTGGCCACTGACTCTATTCCCTGCAGGAGAGGCCTCGACCCCAGTTTGCTGCAGCAGCCCCGACGACAGCTGTGAACCCCATCACTGGCCAAGAGGAGCCCCATTTCCCCGCACAGAGCCGTGCAAGGCGTGTGCTGGCCGGCTCAGTGATGGTCATGATGATGGTACTGGCCACTGGCCTCCCTCGCTGCCTCAGGGCTCTTGAGGCTTCACTGCCCAGAAGTGTCTAAGTGCTAGGTTCAGGGGTTTGATGTGTATGTAAGCAGGGGTGCGGGAGGTCTCCCCATAGTGGGTGTGGTCATGTGTGGTGAGGCCTTATGGGTCATGTGCTGGTCATATGATCCAATGCCCGCAGGTGGCTGTGGTGGTCATGTGCCTTGTGTCCATTATCCTGTACCGTGCAACCATGGCTGTCCTGGTGTCCAGGTCCAACAACACCTTCCTGGTGGCCTGGGTGAGGCTCTGGTCCTACTGGATGGGAGGCTGGCCTCAAGTGCCCCACACTGACCGGCAGTCTCCACCAGGCCTCCCGCATCGCCAGCCTCACAGGCTCCACACTGAACCTCATCTTCATCCTCATCCTCTCCAAGTTCTACGTGAGCCTGGCCCACCTCCTGACACGCTGGGGTGAGGCCCAGGATGATGGGCCCAGGCCCCTCCCAGGCCCCTCCCAGGCCCCACCCAGGACCCTGCCAGGACCCTGCCAGGACCCTGGCCTCTTTCCAGCCCCTCCCTGACCCCTGCCTTTCCCCTGGCCCCTCCCCAGCCCCCTGCCTGGTCACCCTTGGGCCCCTTCCTGGCTCCTACCCTGGCCCCTCTCCAGCCCCTGCCTGGACCCTCCCCGGTTCCTGCCCTGGGCCTCCTCAGCCTTGTCCTTGCCTCTGAGAATGCTGGACCTAGGTGGCCTTTCTGTGTATAGAGATGCATCGGACACAAACCAAATTTGAGGATGCCTTCACCCTCAAAGTGTTCATCTTCCAGTTCGTCAACTTCTACTCCTCGCCCATCTACATCGCCTTCTTCAAGGGCAGGTGCGGGCAGTGCTCCCACCGTTCCCGATGGGACATGCAGGTTGGGCTGAGACTGGATGGTCCTGGCTGCCTCCTCCCAGCAGGCTTAGGTGACTCTGGGTGGAGCAAGTGGGTCTTACCTGCCAGGTACCTACAGCTCCAAAAGTGGTTGAGGGCTTCTGGAGTGACCCCCCATGGATCCTGTTCCTCTGTGGTCTCAGCACCCTTATTTCCAGCAGGTTTGTGGGTTACCCAGGCAACTACCACACCTTGTTTGGGGTCCGTAATGAAGAGGTGAGTCCATGTGGAATGAGGCTCATGTCCTGTGGGCTTCAAGCCCTCCTCCCTCCCCCCCGTCCCCGAGGAACCTGCTGGCCTTCCCACCATTTCTCAGGCCTCCATGACGGCCATCCCCAGATGCCCACTCATGACAGCCATCTACACCTTTCCCAGTATCGACACAGAGGAATCTGACATTGCCACACATCACCAGCCAGGACAGCAGGACACAGGGAGGCCTTTCTCCCAACGTCTTGTCCCCTAGGCTCCCCACACCATGGCAGTGCCAGTGATAGAACTAAAGGCAGACAAAGCATCTGTCAGAACCCAGGGGGACGGGGAGAAAGCACCTCCTGTGTAGCAGCCTCCACACTGAGGGGAGGGCAGCAGGGGGTGGACGGCGACCCTGGGGGGCATCGGGGGGGAGGGCAGCAGGGAGCAGACAGTGACTCCAGGAGGGCACAGGAGGGGCATCAGGGTCTGGCCTGTGGGTTCCAGCTGCTCCTGTGAACAGCCTGGTAAAAGAAGCACACACCTCACCCAGGCAGAGAGGCTCTTGCAAGTGCCTGGAGCTGTCTGTGGGGGCTTCTGGGGGCCAGGGACAGCTGGGGTTTGTGATTTAGCTCCTCACACAGGCTTTGTCCTAGGCTGAAGGAGGGAGGGACAGGTGGGGTCCATGGCCAGGGCCTCAAGGTGTCCAGCAAGAAACATCCTGCGTCAAACCGCCTCTTGACTGGTGAAAGAGCTCAGGACTTGGGGCTCAGATTCAGCTGGATCCTCGGGTTTGAGCACCGTTATTCTACCTGCCCAGTGCTTGCTGTTATTTCTGGGTACCTGCCAGACTGGCATCCTGTTCAGGGCCCCTTCCTAGGACTCTGGCTAAGGGCCACCTCTTGCTGACTTAGCTGGGGTGAATTCAGGTCCAAGACTCCTTAGATCTGAGCTCCAAGAACCCCTGTGTGACCCAGTGAAGGGCCTTGCCTGGTTGGAGGGTTCTGAGGCCCTGTGGTCACCCGGGAGATACCCTCTAAGGCAGGGGCTGGAGTGAGGAAGGGTATCTGCCATCTTCAAGGGTCTGGCAGAAGCAGGGAGGTCCTGGAGGTGGGCAATGTGAGGGCCAGTCCCTGGGCTGACCATAGCCCCACTGATGCAGTGTGCAGCTGGGGGCTGCCTTGTTGAGCTGGCCCAGGAGCTCTTGGTCATCATGGTGGGCAAACAAATCATCAACAATGTGCAAGAAGTCCTTGTTCCGTGAGTCTCCAACCTGGGCAGTGTCCAGGCCAGTGGGAGGGAAGTGGGCAGTGCTGAATCCCCCACTTGAGCTGTGGGTATGCCTGGGGCTCCCTGGGGAAGCAGACCCTGCTGTTGGCTCCCTCTGGTGGTGGGATACTGAAGCCCTGGACAAAGCCTAGGAGATAACCCCTTCTTTCCTCCCTAGCCCCAAGCCAATTCTAGAGAGAGAGCTGAGGGTATGATGTGGTCAGTGACTCCCAGGGACACTACCCAGGCCTATGGCCTGTGTTGTTTGCTCCTTCACCACAGGGGGCATTTGGAGGGAGAGGACAATCCCAGGCCCTGGACACTTGGGCCTCTCAGGGTGGGAGAGGGTGGCCCTGGGGCCTCACAGCATCTGTCCTTCAGAAGGCCTCCTCTCCTTGCACCCACATCCTGTATCAACCATCCTTGGCTGTCTCCTGTGAGCAGACTGGGGACCCACTGGAAGAATGGGGACATGTTCCTGCTCTGTGTCCTTCCAGGAAGCTCCAAGGCTGGTGGCAGAGGTGGCGGCTCCGCTCCAAGAGGAGGGCAGGGGCGTCCGCAGAGGCTGCCCAGGCCCCCTGGGAGGCGGACTATGCGCTGTTGCCCTGTGAAGGCCTCTTTGACGAGTACCTGGAGATGGGTAGGAGCTGTGGGGGGCTATGCTAGCTGGGTAGGCAGCGGCACTGTCCTGTGTCCCCAGATAATCGTGCTCCTGCCGAGGGCACGGGTGGGGAATCGGGAAGGAAGGATGGATGAGGTAGAGTGAGGGGAGCCCAGAAGGTTGGCCATGGGTGCAAGGAGCAGTGCCCTGGACGCAGGGGCTCTTGGGACCAGGTCTGCAGCCAGGGGTATCCTGAGGTGCCCCAGAAAGCAAGGGATGAGAAAAGTGGGGTGCCCAGGGAAGCAGGTGGGGAGAACCTTCCAGAAGCAAGACTACATGTGTTGTAGTTTTTCTCCATAAACTTCCTTAGTACTCACACCTTTCCTGGGGATACTTGTCATGCTTCAGTCCCCAGTGGCTCCTTCCCCACATGGAGGGCATGGTTCAGTCCGTGGGGGGATCTGCATGCCAATGTGCCCCAAGCCCTCACTCATCTGTGCTTCTGCGTGTAGTCCCTCTTCCAGTGTTGAGATACAGGACCACACAGTGTGTGTCTGCTCCTCAGAGGCAGGTGGTCTCCATAGTTGTCTGCCCTGTGGAAGTCCATGGGATCTTCAGCAGTCTCCCCCGACAACTAAAGCTCAAAGGCATCATTTCCGCTTGTGACCCTTAGTTGTTGTCCACTGGCGCACAAGGAGAGTAGGGAGATCAGGAGCTCCCTAGCAGGCAAGGCAAAGGGGCTGCAGAGGCCATCTGTGCAAAGGAGAGGTGTGATGTTTGTACTGACCAGCTCCTTAAAGAGGCTAACCCACGGGATATACTGCCATTCAGAGGGCAGTGCTGCCCTGAGGCTCAGTCCTAACCCTTGAGAGGAACAAGGGAGAAAGCTGTGCTGTAATCAGAAGGAAGTCCACCAGGTGTCCACTGGGCAGGGCCCAAGACCTGGGATGAGGCAGAGCCCCTGTCCTGTTAGAGGGCACTGGGCCTTGGTGACCATGGCCCCTAGTGGTGCAGGCAGGAAGTGCAGCCAGAGTCCCAGCTCTGTGTGAACTTACAAAGGGCAGCAAGCCTGGCATCCAGAAAGGCTTCCTGCAGGAGGTGAGCCTGGATCTGAGCACCATAGGATGGGTAAGAGCAGGAAGCAGGGACAGAGAGAAGCAGGAGTTGGGGAGGCACAGGGCAGCTGTTCAACAGTGGGAACGTGTTGGAGCTGAGGAAGGAGCCCACGGAGGGCCTGTGGCTGCAGGGGCGGCATGTGCTGGCGGGCAGGGAGTCTCCTGCTGGAGTGACCGCGGTGCTCTGTGGCAGTACTGCAGTTTGGCTTCGTCACCATCTTTGTGGCTGCCTGCCCTCTGGCACCTCTGTTTGCTCTGCTCAACAATTGGGTGGAGATCCGCCTGGATGCACATAAGTTTGTCTGCGAGCGCCGGCGTCCAGTGGCTGAGCGTGCCCAGGACATTGGCATCTGGTTCCACATCCTGGCTGCCATCACACACCTGGCCATCATCAGCAATGTGAGAGAGGGCAGGGGTGGCTCAGGACTGGGCAGGGAGCATAAGGCTCAAACTAGAAGCAAAGGACAGGTGGGGAGCCACTGGGTAGGCAGGGTCAGATGAGGGCTGAAGGTTATATGGGTGCAGAGATTGGTCTGAAGAGTGGCTGAGGGGGAGGGTGGCACAGAAACCCCTCAGCCAGGGTGGGCACAGGGCCAGACAGGAGGCAGGGGATGTGTCTGGCCACCCTTCACCTGACACCTGCCCATACCTGTTCCCCCAAGGCCTTCCTGCTGGCCTTTGCTTCCGACTTCCTGCCACGTGCCTACTACCAGTGGAGCCAAGCCCAAGACCTGCGGGGCTTTGTCAACTTCACGCTGGCACATGCCCCACCCACCTTTGCTGCTGTCCACAACCGTACATGCAGGTGAAACCCCAGGAGGGTGTGGAGGGGTGGAAGGGCAGGGGGCTGGGAGCGGAGGGGTAAGGGCTGAGGGAAAGGAAGGCCCCAGACCCAGGCCAGTGGGAGAGGTGTCCAGTCAGGAGACCTGGCAAGCTCCTGGTGGGAGTGGACTGAAGTGAAGGTAAGACCCTGCTGTCCCAGTCTCTGCTCTCACCCATGTTCTTTGACTTGAGGACGGTAGCCTGTGTTGTTGGGGTCAGTCTTGATTAGACCTGCAGATCATGTGGAGGTGTGCTTGTGCCCCACCCTGAGCCAGCTCTGCATGTCCTTCACTGAGTCTGGCTGTTTTGCAATTGTTCTTTCTTGCTGACACAACAGTGTGTGACCTTGTCCAGCCCAGGTCTGATGGCCTGCCTGACCCCACAATCTCCTTGTGACCACAAGTGGGTCACTTGCAGAATGCAGCCAAGTGCTTCCCTGTGGTCCTGGCCCCTGCTGGTCCCTGGAGCAGATCTTCATGTCCATGTGTCCTATGTCAGCTGGACCTTTCCGGGCTGGACAGGGGCCAGAGAGCTTTTGGTTGGGTTGTGTCTCCTACTTTGCAGGCTGTGGACTCTCACCATGGGCTTTTCCAAAGCTCTTCAGTACATGTGGGAGCACAGACATGAGCCCGTGGAACCGCAAGGACCTGTGGTCAAGGGACTGGAAGGCTGTGGCCCTGGCACAATCTTGCTCCACAACTGTGCACTGCCCTCAGGATGCAGGGACTTAGTGGCCCTACTGCTGTGCCTGTGGGGGGTGGTCTCAAGCTCATGAGAGCATAGGCCTTTAGGAGATGGTGATGATCTGTCCTGTAGGAATATGTGTTGGCAGAGGCCAGCCTAAGGGTGCAGACCAGCACATGGAATTGGGGGCCAAGTACCCCTTCCTAGGGCCTAGCCAGCAGGGGCTGATTGCCCAGTTTTGAGTTTCTTTCTGGCTAGGGTGGACCCTGGCACTAAGCCTCAAAGCCAAGGGGAAATGGGGGCCACCCCTAATACCCACCTGCTTGTATTTACTTCTCAGCCCTGGGGTTTAGCAGTAGAAACCACAGGGGGGATGCTGCTTAAGCCCAAGTTCTGGCTGCCCTGTGCCTGTTACTTGACTTCTCATTACATCTCCTCTCATGTGCCTGTTGGTCCCTCCCATTATGTGCCAGACCTTGATAATGAGTTTTCAGAGAAGTAACAAGGTATAAGATGAGCTTGTTTATTTATCTGGTGGTTGGGCATAGAAGTTCCAGGCCATTGTCCACCTGCCTGGAGGCCTGAGATGATCTAGTCAGGCAGATGCAATCAAGTGCCCCAGGGTGATGGGTTCTGGTTTAACAGGCTCTGCAGTGCCTGCAACTCCAGTTAGCAGCCTCCTGAGGAACACCCCCTCCCTCGGCTGCACTTCCTTCTCTCTGAGAACCCATCGGTGGGATCTAGACAGAGCTCCCATGGCAGGCCGTGAGGGCCAGCAGGGTTTGCCTGACTCCCCTAGCATGCCATGACTCCTGCCTGTCCTTGCTGTGGCCACGTGGAACTGAGGGAATGCTGAGTGCTCAGAACATGGTTCAGGGACCACCCCACCTACCCTCACGCCGCCAACATGTCTGGTCTCCGGCAGATACCAGGCTTTCAGGGATAGCAATGGACACTACTCCCAGACCTACTGGAACCTCTTGGCCATCCGCCTGGCCTTCATCATTGTATTTGAGGTACTGGGGCACCTGCTGGTTCTTCCTACAGCTCCCTCAGAGCCTGGGGCTCTTGGCCTTTGAGGTGCTGGGGGTGGGGATGACACACTATGGTCAGCATAAGAGTCTTGGCACTGCCTGCCCTGTCGTTTAGTCACAACTCCTCGATGCACCCCGGGGACGTGAAGCCTTATCTTCCCAGCCACTCAAGGATCCACAGGGTCTCATGGGAGCTGCCCATTGCCTCCTTGGCATGGTCTTGTCCTGAGCTGGGGGCAGGGGCTGAGAGGTCCAGGCCTAGGCAGTCCCAGCATGCCTGTCAAAGGCCAGCCAGGGTGAGGTCCACCCCAGTGTCCTCTTGTGATTCCAGCATGTGGTCTTCTCCATCACTCGGCTACTCGACCTCCTGGTGCCTGACATCCCTGAGACTGTGGAAGTCAAGGTGAAACGCGAGTACTACCTGGCCAAGCAAGCACTGGCCGAGAACGAGGTGAGGTGCCAGCATCTCTGGCACGCCTCAGGAGGCTGGGCCCCTGCACCCTGGGAGGGGGAGAAGTCCCTCTGCACAGTTGTTCTTTAGTCTAATTGCCCACCCTTCTCTGCCTGCCCTCCCTGACACAGGTTCTCTTTGGGACACATAACAAGGACAGCAGACCCCCAGAAATGGGCACACACCTGAGCCCACAGGCCTAGGCTGCCAGCTCTTTCTTGTTCGGCCACAGCTGGCTCGGCTCTGGCCTGAGTCGGCACCTCCTGTCTCAGACTCCTGTGGCCTTTCTTGTCCTTCCCTCCCTCCCTGACCAAGGCCTGGCATTCAAGTAGTTGGGTGGTTGTTGTTTTCTTTCTTGTTGTGTACTGTCGAGTAGGATCCGACTGGCACAGGAGATTGTCCCTCCTCCAGCAGAGCATCTGGGGGATTCGAGCTGCACACCTTCAGGATTGCAACACAGCTTCTTGCCTCTAGGCCACCAGAGCTCCTTTCAAGCAGCTGTTTTAACGGTGCTCCCTGCCCCATGCCCTCCACTCCAACTCCAAGCTGGAGCTTGGCTGAGGTCACCTACCCCTGTTGTAGAGGCGAGGGTCCAAGGGAAGCCCTAAGGCCCAGTCCTAAGCTCCCTTACTCAGTGTCTTTGACCTCTGCACTGTGCTGAGCAGCACTAGAATAGGCACAGGCTCTGGACGCTGACTTTCGCAGCACCTCTTGGTGGCTCTGGGACGTCCCCTGAGCACCCAGCTGGATGCCCTCAGCTCTGTGCCTGCAGTGCTCCTTTCCACAGGGCAGCAGCCCCTGCTCACTCTGGCCCGAGGCTCAGGGCCTGTCCATGTCAGTCACTGCCCTTATCCCCTTCCACCCTCAGTGCCAGCAGGCAGCCCCCTCACCAGAAGCTTGCCCTGGATGAGTGAGGGTCCCACAGGGGTGACTCCGTCCCAGGTTTTCTGCTGCAAGTCTCTTCCTACCATTAACCTGGTCTCCCTGCTAGCCCTGGCTGCCTGCTGCTTAACTTCCTACTGCACTGAGCCCCCTATTTCTGGCCACCCCTCTTCCTTAGAAGCAGAACCAGACATTTTACAATGCCCGGACACCTGCCAGACCAGCCCTCCCAGGGTGCCTGACCAGCTCACCGCACTGATCCTCTGCAGCTGCACGGGAGAGGCGCGTGGTGCCCACCTGCTTTCCCTGCCGGGCAGTGTGGGGCCCTCAGCAAACACATGGACAGCTCCTGGAAGGCCGTCCTTGTTGCCTGATGCAGCTGTACCACCCACTGCTTCCTGTGTCTGGGGTTCTTAGTGTGCAGCTCCCACCAACTGCAGCCATCAGCTTGGCATTCCCCTGTTCACCCTTCCACGGGACGTTGTCCTCTTGGCATTAGGTAACCAGTTGACCCCACTATTGACTCACTCTTCACAGGCCCACAGCTAAGACACAAGTGCCCCATGGGGCATGTGAAGAGGGAAGGGCTGGCCTGCAGAAGATGCTGTTTCCCCCTCAGCAGGGGCACAGGGACAAAGGGCATGCAGGACAGGGTCCTTTCTTCAGTGGTCCTGCCCAGCCACCCCAGTTCTCAGTGAAGCAGAGCAGAGACAGTACCCCAGACTGTGCCAGGGGGGCGGGAGACAGCTCCACACCTGCAGCCCGAGATGCCTGCCTTGTGACCACCTGTCACGTGCCCGGCCGCGCTGTCGACACTAGGTGTGCGAGGACCTGCCTGAAGCGTGCTGGTCCTGGGCAGCACGGGATGAGGGGGCTGCGTGGTGAGGAAATGGCTCTGGAACCCAGGACACTTTTAGCCTTTATTTGAGAATTTATAAAATTCCACTGTTGTCCACGTTAACGAGCCTTTACATGTTTGCACACAATCCCAAAGTTAAGGCCAAGGGATGGGTCACAGCTATGGAAATGTGACGTGGAAGACATCTGACAAGGACACAGCTGGCGGGTCTCAGCCTGATGTCTATACAGTACCAGGCCCGCTGCATGGTCGGCTGGTCCTTCCATACCCTTGAGTGACAGCCTGAGGGGTGTGCAAAGTTGAGGGCGTGAAAGGCCGGGCTTTTAACTTGGAGCAGTGCCAAGGTGGTAGGGGTACACACAGAGGGTGGAGATGGGGCAGGGGAGGGGCATGGAGGCTCCAGACTCATGCAGGTGGAAAGTGACAGATCAGGTCTTCAAGGACAGTTCTGGAGGAGAGAAGCCCAACCCTCCCCCCCGCCTCAGGCACCACTGTCCCTGTGTCTATACCTGTAGATAGCAGAGACCTGGCTGCTTCAGCCACTGAGACCCTGCAGAACCCGAGCTGTCTGGGTTGAGGAATCGGGGGCCCAACATGATGGAGCAGGTGTCACTGAACAAAGAAGGCTGTGAAGCTGACAGGGACACCTCCAGGGTGAGGAAGGTGGCAGAAGACCAGATAGTGCAGGTACAAAAGGCCACCCTGGGCCCTCCCAGGCAGCCAAGGAGTCTGGGTGCAGCAGTCCTTCTGGAGGCACCAGGTGTCTGTCACAGGTCAGGTGCTGGCTCCCTCCAGCCCTGCAGGCCCTCAATGGCCTTGTCTGCCCGTTTCTGCTTGGGGCCAAGATGGTGAATGTCCCCTGCCCAGGACCTCCTGCCTGCCTGGCCTTCAGCCAGTTTCCCCACACAGGACCCAAGTCCAACCAAGTGTGGTGGGTGGTGGCGGTCTGGCGCTGAGGTAGTGACGGCCCTGTGTACAGTGTGTGTGGGAGAGGAGGGCAGGTGCAGGGACTGGTGACAGTGGAGCATTACCCAGGGCTGGTACTGTAGAACAGGGCTGCCCCAGGCCAACACATGGCCACCCCCTACTTCCCTGGGCCCCTCGGGTGCCCCAGCAGCCAGGCCAGGAAGTACATGATGCTGGTCACTGCTGCCCTCATCTGCTGGGGACACTGCATGCTACTGAGGGTGGGCAACAGGCAAGGCCCAAGGGTGGGAAAGGAAGAGGGCAAACGTTTGGCTTTTATAAAGTCGAGGACATTTATTTCCTGAGGTCATGACACAGGAAGCAGACTCCCAGCAGAGGCGGTGCTCTCAGAATGCAGGTCAGCGTGCTGACAGACATGCTGGGGGCTGGGAAGCTGAGTCTGGTTATGGGCTATGAAATGGTCAATTACCGTATTTAGTGTTTCAAACAGTGGAGAGCCTGTCCCAGAGCA